TCTTTCTTTCTTTCTTTCTTTCTTTCTTTCTTTCTTTCTTTCTTTCTCCTCATTTTTGTATTGTTTATCATTGTGTGAGATTCCTTGGTACAGTATATGGTACAGTCCTCAAGTTACAACCACAATTGAGCCAAAAATTTATGTTGCCAAGTGAAACATTTATTGAATTTAGCCCCACTTTACAGTCTTTCTTGCCATAGTTGTTAAGTGAACCACCGCAGATGTTAAGTTAGTAACACGGTTATTAAGTGATTCTGGCTTCCCCATTGACTTTGCTTAGTCGTAAACATGGATCACATGACCTTGGGACACTACAGCTGTCATAAACGCAAATCAGTTGCCAATCATCTGAATTTTGATCACATGATTGTGGAGATGTTGCAGTGGTCATAAATGTGAAAAACAGTTATGTCATTTTTTCAGTGCCGTTGTAACTTTGAATGGTCACTAAATGAACTGTTGTAAGTCGAGGGCTACCTTTATTTTATAATCATTACCTCTTTCATTTTAATGGAACAAAATAAGAGACTACTTCTATCCATTTTTTTCAGCACACTTCAGTTTTTGGATGAAGTGAGAAGTATTGCTAAACAAAGCATGATGGGACATTGCAAGGACTGCCAAGGACAGAGAGAAGTCACATGATTATTACTCTTGCTGCCTAATATAATTCAAAATTGTTAAAATTAAAGTATTCAGTTATTCTTTTTCCTCCAGTAATGTCTGACATTCCATCTCACGCTGCTCAGAACAGTTACTAAAACTCTAGGTTTCACCCATATGGCACATGCAGTTGTGTGGACTTTAATTCTTAGTTTTCTCAGCAATGGCCACACTAAGAATTCTGGTAGTTGAAGGATAACAAATCCATCTAATAGTGTTCTAGAAATGCTTTAGGAGGGTCATTAATGCTTTAGCAAAGGTGTGGAATAGGAGAGAATCACTGAATCAGAGAATTGGAAAAGTTCATTGAGATAATCAACCCAAACTCTGCTCAGTGTGGGGTCTCTTTTCTATAAGTATGTTTAAATAATTGTAATAGGACCCAAGGTTACATGTGTGACTGTTAAATCTGAAAAAAAAAATACTATGTGTGGGAATGACCTTGTAAAACAGGAGAAAGATCTGCAGATTAGACAACAGTCAGATAAGAGGCAACTGAGTCTGCAGAAAGAATGGAGGGTGCAAAGTCTCATGTAGTACCCCCATTTGTTTCTTGCACTATAAAGGGGGCTAGCTAGCTAGCTAATTATAAATGTCCTTTAAGTATTCATTCAGCAATAAGTTCAACCAAGTTATTATTCCTAGGTCATGCAATTATGGCCTTAATTATTTAATGTCAAAAAAGCAGAATGTCAAAAAAAAACATTAAATATGAACTCTATTGGGAAACTTGTAAGAAACAAATGCAGAGTGAAGATTTTTATTTTTCCATTCCTTTGCCTCTACTAGAGTTGTAAATTTTTGGCAGCTGTGAAATTCAGACTCATGCATTCTTTAAGATACAATTGAAAGCTTCCTGACTGCTTCATATTCATGATGATATGAAATATGGAAGTCTCAAGTTCATAATGACTGATAATGTGACAGTGAAGGTTTTGTTTATTTGTATGTATGTGTTTAACATTCATTATATAATATATTTTTAAAGTAGATTCTTTGCAAGGGGAAAATCATGGCACAAAACTCTGCTATATTGCTGTTATACAGTACTGTGCAACATCTGTCTTTTGTTCAGATAACAAATGGTGTCTGCATATAAAAGTATAATATCTACATTCTCCAGAGTGAACTAACATTCAAGCATGAATGGAAAACTTGGAAGCAAAAGGGTGGCTTTTCTTTTCTTTATAAACACAAGCGCAAAATAATGCAGCAGCACCCTCAAGAGGAGATTAATATTATAGCATGGCCTATGGAAAAAAGTACGGAAACTATGGAAAAGTGAAATTACAGTGATCTTTAGTGACCAAGATATCCATCAAAAAGGAGAAAACTATAAAAAAACCAAGTGTCTGTGAGCATGCTAAGAAAAATGGCATAATATAAACTGAGTTACACCAGCAAGTATTGATTGTTAAATCAAAGTGATATCAAATGAATTATATGCAGAATGGGGATAATTTGTGCAGTTTAGGGTTTTAGGCTCACAAACTAGGTAATGGTGCTGCCATTGTTCTGTTAGTTTTACCTTCTTCAAACACTAATTTCTTTTTATTTAAATGCCAGATATCTATCAAATTATAAATATTATATAAATGTCTATCCAAATTATGCAGATACTTGCAGAAAACTGGACCCATATGATTATATATATTTCTCAGTCTAGAAGTTCTAGCTTTCTTTTCATACAATGTACCAGCACTAAAGTTCTACATATTCAATATAATCATGGAATCATAGAACTGGCAAAGGTTGTTATGCGGTGAATCAAATTATTTACTCCATGAAGGATATCAGATTAAATTATCCTTGGGTATAGATTAAATTATCCTTGGGTAATGTTTGTCCAGCCTCTGCTTTGAACATGTCTAGCAAAAGAATGGTCTCTTCTGCTCTAAATAATTGATTCTGCTTTCAAACTGCTCTTCTGGATAGTCAAACGGCATATGCTTTTCTGAAATTTAAGATCATGATTCTTTGTTTTCTACTTCCGGATAAGTTCATATCTGTTAACTTGAATCAGGCAATAAATCTAACTGTAGCTTTCTAAACTGAGTCATGTTTAATAATATTATAATTCCAATTCTTAAATACCTGCATTAATACTGATGGATTTCGTAATAAAGAATGATCAATATGATTTTCCAATAGCTGTTCCTAATTGTAGCTGCCAGCTACAATACTAACTATACAAAATACTTTTCTTCCAATTAAAAGTAGGTTTTAATAGTCTTACTTTTCCATGGCCTATTGACCACAAGGGAAATAGGGTATAGGTAAAGAATTAAGAATTTTCTTCCCTGATTTCTCTTTAAATCTTTGGCTGCTTGCTCTTTTTCTGTAAGACTTCTTGCTTATTGACTGCTATCTGTTGGTTGTATCATTGGCTTCACTGAGCTGAAGCTAGAAACTTACTGATCTTGAACATACTTGGAACATTTTTTCCAGTATTAATGTCATTAAGTAAGATATTAACAAGGAAATATCTAAAAATCAGATTAGCCCGATGGATGCACAACAGGAGAATGTGTTAGTATTTATGAAACATTTAAAAAGTTGCTTGTCTGATTTTTTTTTTGTTGTTTATGATATGTCATTCTTATCTTTCAGAACTTCAAATGTACATTCCTTCCTCCAATTTTGAGTCCACAAACAAACCCAACCTCACCAGAAGGTTTTCCTTGTTTACAGAGATCTTTATGTCTGTTCCAGCACTCTGGAGACCAGCAATCATTTAAAAATGAAAAAATGTCACATGCGTATCTGTAAAGGGAAGAGTAATCTGTGATAATTCAAATGTTAAACTCCAACTGACATCTGATCCTGTCAGGCCTCAGATAGCTATCAGCATCCTTTCAAAATTTGGTCTTCCTCATGCCTTTTTGGAACACCACACATTTTTCCAAATTTGCAGTTATGCTAGCGGAAAAACCCTTCAAAGAGAAGCTAAATCTTTTTAGTAAAGAAAAGGTGGCCCAACTTTAGATGACATTGTTTCCCTTCACTTTTTGCAAATTTGCTTTATGCAAATTCAATATGACAATTGATTATTTCACTAAATAATTCTGTGTATGTGTGAATGCACGCACATGAAAAACAGTCGAGAAACATGTCAAGACTTCTTCCAGCTTGAATATTTTGAATATTTTTCTTACAAAATCACTTTTTGCCCTCACTATCCTTATTTACTGTGGTTGAGCCTCTTTTCCATATCTGAACCAGTATTAGCCATGGTATCAAAATGGGCATCAATATTTTTTCTAACACCATACTTAACAGAAAAGGATCTTTCCAGTCATGACTTTGGTGAAGGAACCTCACCCTAGGATGAACTTCTATTTAAAACTGAACAAAAATTAATAGTGCTATGTTCTAACTGCCTGTCTGCCAAGATAACCATGCATATTGGATATGAAGAAAAGATGGATAAAATAATTTCACATGAAAGACTTACAAGCACATTTGTCAGTGTATACTCTATAACCCTTCCTTTTTCTACCAATTGTCTTGCTTTATGCAAATTCACTTTATGCAAGATATGGGAAAACGACTCTAGTATAAAGCAAGGAAAGTTTGATAATTTCCTAATTTAAAAAATAAGATACATATATTAGATTAATAATGAGATTTTTGTGACATACCATTGCATGTAATAAGCCAAATTAAATGACAATCATTGACCAACTGTAACCATGTTGTCCACAATTAACCATGGGCACTTTCCTAATTCATGTATTACAGGAGAAGCTTTTCTAAGTTTAAGCCATTCATATTATTTTCCCTAGTTTTATAATATTAACACAGAAGAATTTGAGAGATCTGAACTATGAGTCCACGTGAGAATGAGCAACAAACACTTTCACTTCCCATCCAACTTATTCATCATTCTTGGTTCCAAAACAAAAATATAGCCTCAGTGCTGTTATTTGTAATTCAATCCATACAACTGCTCAACCGAGAAATTGTTAGCTTAGGTACTGCAGGAAATCTGTATGGCATGCAAAAGTTGATAAGAGATTTGTTGGTCCTTTATTAATATTGAATGGAACTTTCCAATATGGAGAATATCAGTGAAAGAATAGCTCATATATAATGAGCTCTCATCCAATTCTCTCCACTAGATTTGCATCAGATGTGCAAAATTAGAAAGTATTAGAAAATATTGATATATACTATTAATCTTCACAGAGAGGTACACATCTAGCAGGAGTATCTCATATTAAAGTATCCAAAACTGTAATAAATACTTTTCTACTTTTTGTCTAATAAAATAAGTATGAAAGTTGTTTGTCATAAATCATTGCAACTGAATATATAGAAAATTATTTACAATGGCTTGTGGCCACTTCAAAAAATTGGCTTTCTCCATGATAGAAAAATGTGATATGTATCTCTGAAGCAATTACAGAGATATCATCATCCACTTAATTACAGTTTAGTGTCTGAATACAAGAATTCTGCAATGTAATTTCACTAAAAGATCTACAGTATCGGCAAATTTCAACTATAAAGAAAAATTCAGAACTTGCATTTTTTTAGTGGAAGAGTCGCAGTATCAGATTTAATCAGAAATTCTCAATATAATTAGACTAAACAAAGTATATATTTGCTTGCAGAAACATCTGTTGAAGAATCTCTCCTGAGTGCCATCAGGTGCAAAGTAACACTCCATATTTTCTTTCTAGATGATAGTATGTGACATTCTACATTATTTCACTTTGATTCTCAACTTCCCAAAAGTGTACCAGCCTAGGTGTGTACTTATTATACTATAATCTCCTCAGTATCCTTTATGATGATGGACAATTCAAGTGATTCATTGTTGAATGATAATATACTGTATGTCTAACGAATTTCTACCAATTCTAGGGTGTCTCCTTGTTTTCTTAAATGTCTATTGGAGGTCAATAATTTCTGAACGAAAGAAATGCTTACATTGCTTATAGTACATGCCAGCCTGGGTTCTAAATTGATAATTTCAGTAGATGTAACTGTGGTGTCTATATCTGTTTTTCATAGCCAGAAAGTGGATAGCCTCCTTGGTATGATGATATCTGCTGTATCTTTTATATTTTGCCCTTTCTGGCTTCTAAATGTAAACACAAAAGAAGTGGCAGAATGCATAAGAACAGTGATGAATGCATCTTTACAGCAGACTGTTAATCAATGTCCAGACTTCATTCTGGGAAGTAATAATAAGGGGATATCTGATAATATCTTAGCTCTAGGAGATTTTAAATGATGCAGATATTTTCATATCTGTTTCAGTCCAGCTTCAAATCTGGCTTTGGTTATCTTGAAAGTTGATTTTGCTTGGAATGGGCAGGAGGGAAATCTTGGCTTCTTCACAGTTAATGTAAATATGGTATTCCTGAAATACCATAATACTAAGCACCTATCTTGCGGCGCTCTAAGAAGGACTAATGATTCCAGTTGCTTTGATGTGCAGTTTTACAAGATGTTGAAAATAGTAGAGACTGCATCTTCTTCCTGATCATTTGGAAGTGAAGGGGAAAATGGCATTAGTTAATACAAATAAATTACACAATTCTAAATCCAGCTCTCCTTCCCCCTTTTCCCCTGCCCCAAAAGTTGTCAGCTTCTGTATAACACTTTCAAACACATGGATGTTGACTAGGTATATCAGGAGATGAGAACTCTGGGAAGGAAAGCCACTGGGAGTTAAAACAGGAAGCAATATACATACATACATACATACATACACACGTATGTATATATGTATATATATATGTATGCATAATATTCAAAAAACATCTTAGTCAATATTTCTTTGTATTTATTTTTTATTTATTTTTGTCAATTGCTTACAAGATAATAGGTATAAGTAAAAACAGTTATGAATACATGGATACATATAAGAAATATAAAATATAAAAGAAACAATAGGGCAGGGATGGTAGGCACGTTGGTGCGCTTATGCACACCCCCTTAGGAAAGGGGTGAGGTCAATAGTAGACAGTCTAAGGTTAAAGTTTTTGGAGTTTGGGGAAAAAAACCACAGAGTCAGGTAGAATATTCCAGACATTGACCACTCTGTTGCTGAAGTCGTTTCTACCTTAATTATTATCTTCTCCTAATCAACAGGCATATCCAATCAACATGTTGCTATATTATGTTGCCATATTATGTTGCTATTATGCTCTGCATAATCCAATATTTTCCTTGGATTAATGCAATATTTTAGTGACCTTAAGTCTATAAAAAAGTTATAACCTTTTAAGGTTTGCTTCAGCTGCCTCCCACATCATAATAAACAATTTTTGTTACATTGAAAACAGAAAATAACAATGTTGATTAAGAATATGTTTTCTCAGGATAGTGATATATTAAACAAAAGTTGGGTTTTAGGGTTGAGAAAAGGTGAAATACCTAGGAGTTACATTGAAAAATACAAATATAAAATTGTTCCAAAACAATTATCTCCCTCTTTGGAGGGATATTAAACAGAGATGGGATAAACTGCACGTATAGAATCTCTGTAATCAAGATGAATATTTTACCAAAGATGCTTTTTTATTTCAGATGTTACCAATACTTACAACTGACAATCCGTTTAAACAATGGCAGAAGGATATTTCTAAGTTCATATGGCAAGGGAAAAAAACCCAAGAATTAGGTATAAGCTACTGCAAGTTGTTAAGGAAAGAGGGAGTTTTGGTCTTCAGAAATGAAACTGTATTTTGAAGAATGCTGTTTGACCTGGTCAAAAGACTGGATGAGCCTTCAGAATAAGAGATTACTTGAATTAGATGGACATGAATTAAGATTTTGATGGCATAGCTACTTATAGTATGATAAAAGTAAAGTTAATGTTGAATTTAATCACATTGTTACACATGCCATACTAAGAGTTTGAAATAAATACAAACAAACATTCAGCTTTCAGTTTGGGAATGGTTGACACGAATGTTCCTTTCACTTTAGCTAACAAGATCCTTCAAGTAACCATCAATGGGACTATGTTTTTAATAAAAAAAAAGGATTATGGAAAATTGAGAATTTTCCTTCAGGACTGGCTCTTGGGGCCCTTTCACACTGGCACTTTGTGGTACCCCATAATCAGTTCTGAGTTGTATGGTTTCTATCAGAGCAAATTTACTTCTGACTCAGCTGAAATTATATCTCAAATTATGTTTCCATTTTAAATGCTGCAGAACTGGTGGGCTTGGGCAACATTTATAGCAATTTTAGGAACAAGAGTTTAGAGCGTAGAGGTGCCTCTTGTCAACAAAATATGAATATATTGAGGAAAATATCATCTTATAGACATAGTAGTCTAAGTCATCATTTTCTACAAAGCAAATGAAATGATAGATCCTAGATATAACTCTTAAAATTTTATTTGCATTAAGGATCACTTTTGGCCCACAGTTTCCTATAGCCAATTCCAACCTGCACTTGCTGGTTCATTTCCTTTATTAAGTTAATTGTTTGGGTCATTAATCTGTGTCAAGGAAGCTTTCCGAGTACTTGATGAGATTTTCAGGCATCAAGCTGTGAGGCATTAAAAATGATAAATTTACATCTAGGTAAAAGGATGCCCTTCAGCTTCAATAATGAATCACCATTTTGTTTACAAATGAGTATTCTGCTCAAGACATGGCAGACATATATAATTTTAAAGGGGAAATGGCATTACTTTTGGAGATGATCTATAGGACTGAAGGAATAACATGACTGAGAGATAAAAGATTTGGTGCAATTAATTTTTTATGTATGAATTTATAGATGCACATTTGAACTGATTCTGTCTGATCCACGTTTTATAAAGAGGAAGCTTCCTTATGAAATGTCTTGAGTGGAAAATTTATATTGGTTGCTTTATAAGTGATCATTATTACTTAGGACCTAATTAAAATAAGCTTTATAACCTACTATTAATATTTACAAGTATTCTGATATTTATGCTGTCTTCAGTGGTTAAAAATTTCTAATACCATAATCACATCTTGATCCATATCTGAATTGCAAGGCTAAGACTTTTCAAATGCATTTATCCATTTTAATTTTATCACTTATATTAATTTTTCAAGTGAACAATTTTATATCATTAATAGCAGTACACATTCATTGTCCAAGTAGAGTCTTTTTATTTGTGTTCAGCTTAAACTTCTATGTAGGTGAATCCTACAAAACCCTATTAGTTTAGTGAGGCTGCACATGGGGGATTCCTATATTCTCAAAATTTCTATGGGATTGTATATGTGATCCAGAGTTTGAAAAAAATCGCTTAGTACTAGTTTTTTATAAATAGTGTTACTTGAGTATGTATTATATGAGACCTGAAAGAGCAGCTGACACATGGACAGGTGTTATTTAGAGAGATAATGGGATCCTTTCATTTGATGAATTCAAGTCAAGGCTACAGAGCCATCTGTCTGAGATGCTGTAATCTAGATTTGTTCACTGAGTGGGGAATTAGCCCAACTGGTCTTTCCAACATTATGATTCTGTGGTATTCCTTCAGGGCAGCCAGGAATTTTACATCAGTCGCCTTGTATTCCTAAACGATAAAACTGTTCTTCATTTCAAATCATATACTTGGATATTTGCTGAAACTGTTCAGTGCATATATTTGTGAGGCTGTTATGAGCAAAATAGATTTGGTTAATAAATCCATTTAAATAGGAAAGGAACAATCAAGAAACACAACTGCCTTGTTAATCAGTGCAATTGCTCAATAAATTTTATGTCAGCTCGCTCTAAAAAACTTGGCAGTCCCCCAAAATATCGGAATTCTATGAATTGCAATAAAACCCAGCAGAAAACTAAATCACAGTAGGATACAAAGGCTATGATCTAAGTTGCTTAAGCCTAGCTGAAATCAATAAGAGCTGATGTGTGCAATACTTTTCCTGTCTTAAGTTCTTATGTTAATTATTTTAACTGAATAAATACAATATGTTGAAATGTTTTTTTATTTAATAATTATATGATTTTTTTTTAAATGCAGCTGAGTCCAAGTGACTAAAAAAAAAAGGATTCCAAAATACTAGAAGTATAAATTCCAAACCATTATAAATAAATGTAAGGAAAAAACATAGAATATTCTGCTTTCTTTGTTTCTTGCAGTCACTAACCAGTCAATGTAAGAGCAATAAATATGTCAATAACATTTTGTTATTCACCCTAAGACACAGAACAGAAAAATATGCATTAAATATGACATGAAAGATATTTGTCATTACTGAAAAATACTGCACGCATAGGTATATTTTGGAATATGCTTATTTTTCCTACTAACATCCTTCTCTGACCAACAATTATAATTATTTGTATCTTAAACCCACATACAAAGTATTTTTATCTGAACAATTGTGGGCATTTGCCATTTTAACTGATTGATATTTTAACTTTATATTTAATTCATGCAAATAAATTTAACTTATGTTCTATATCAGCCACATTCATTTATGATTAAAATATAATCATAGATTAGCAGAATTAATTGAGGTTTTATTTTTTTCATATATTTGTTTATAGGATTTATAAAC